AGGGAGGGAGGGAGGGAGGGAGGGAGGGAATTAAAACAAAATGTATAATGCAGTTTGGGTCTGCCATATCCAAACAGGAATCAAAGCTGTGCACACCTATAGGAGCTGCCAGCAGGACCCTTTCCTTTGCATATATAGACTAATGAGCAGGAGAACCATGCTGGAGCAGAGCAAAGGCTGTACAAAGTTTTCTACAGCAACCTGAGCCCCAAATGTGCTGGTATCCCTGGAAAATCCCCCCCTTCCTATTCAAGAATAACAGGATAACAACAGTGAGCAGAAGCTCATTCAGACAAGCAGCAGGAGATGGCTTCCTCTGTGTGCTGTCTGTGCCAGAAGGTACAGTGACTACTAGCAGTCCGTATGGGCTCAATGGCAGATGGGACAAGAGCAGAAATCAGGGCCATGAGAGGACCTGATGGCCAAGGGAGGGTCAAGAGCAGGTCAAGGAAATGGAAGGCAGCTGATTCAACAGGTTGAGTGACAGCCTTGGAGGGGAAACAAGCACTTAAGAATACCAGATTGGATCCTCTGTTAGTGATGTCCAACATCTCAGGGCTCATTTGGAGCTTGGCACCAAGCGGAGGGGAACGCCTAAGGCATGCACGACTATTTATGCAGCTGGAGAAAAGACAAAATCCTCCATTTACTGCATCTCCGGCTGCTAGGGAGCCAACTGCTCCAGCATCATTTGTGTCCCTGCTTATTGACAGTATATTAACCTCTGAGTGAAACAATAGGCCTGAGCAACTTCACAGTGGCCTCTACACTATTTGCAGCGACTGCTAAATGCTGCTGCAGATAATGTTATTTATTCAGCACATTGCTAATGTCAGATTACAACCGGACCCCTGTCTGGAAATGGAGAGAACCCCCTGCAAGAGGCTGGCATGAATTCATTACGAATCAGTGCTGCTAGAATAAAGCATTTATTGAGAATGTCTACGCAGTGACCTTCATACAAAACGTATCGCATAACACTTTCTATTAAAATAATCATAAACACAGTGAGCAGTAAACAAAACAATCAAAATGTATCTCGAAAATAAATGCAGTGAGGGGACGGTGGATGGAAGGGGGATTTAATTTCCATTTAGGTATTACAGGCAATGAAGGCCTTTTTTTGTTGTTGTTTTTTTTTTTTCCCCTCTCTCTTTTCAAACAATGCTTCCAAAATCAATAACGAGGGGAGGGAAATGGTGTGATTAGTAACGTGGTGAGTAATTGCACCAGTTTGTCAGTGCTCGTGTTCGATGTTAGAGCATCTATTAAGAGAGGAGGCTGTTGGAAGGAGCCCCAGTCAATATTTGTCCATACCACAGAGAAATCCTGCAGTCTGGCTAAATTCTGTATGCTTTTCAATCAGATGCCTCTGCCAACATCTGTCCTCCCCGCTGCAATTAGGCCAACAGGCTTCGAGCTGAACTCACCGTGGTGCCAGCTGACACTGGTACCCATGGAGCGAGGTGATGCCCGACTGTGGTGTGTGTCACGGGGAAATGGAATGGCACAGCCACATGCCAAGGGTCAGCAGCCAGAGGGAGGGACCCTGGTGAGTTTGTGAGAAAGTATAAACAAGCCTTGCTTTCATTTCCAGATGCACATCTCGTGGCTCACTGCACATCAGGCTTTTGTTGAAAGCAAAGAGGTGGGAAGAGTGCTTGGAGCAGAGGACAGTCACTGCTGTCATATTATCAGATTTGCAGGACTCCTTCACCACCAGAAAATGCCGTGTGGTACCACCAGTGCTCAGCTTTAGGCAAAGTTGATAAGGAGGCTTTCTATGTTCTGCTCATCCTCAGTTTTCCATGTTCTTCCAAATCATCATTTTTTCCCTCCTGCTCTACAACTGTGCATAGGACTTCACTCACACTGCTGTGCCTGAAGTTGTTCCAATCACTGCTTTGCTCTTTCAAACACACTGACACTGCCTTTGCATCTGCTTGGATGATGCCCCAACAAGATGGACATCCAGACCTTGCTGGGAGACCTCCAGCAGCACAGGAAGGGCCTTGGAGTTCAGGTGTCTCCCACCTCATCCCACCAATCTGGTTGCACAGAGGTTTTCAATCTGCTTCCAGCTTATTTCTGGCCCTGCAGACCCACTTTGCCTTCATTTCACTCTTCAACGTAATCCCTAGAAACACATTCATTTTCTATTTGGTCCTACTTAGATTTACTACAATCCCTAGCTACACATGGTAAGAACAAAGAGGAACTGAGGCTCTAGAGACAGACTCCTGTTAGAGGTTTTAATATAATTTCCAAGTTCCAGTTCAGTTTGAACTTCTCAATTTTCATTTTCTCTGTACATTCCCTGTCCTGTGTCACACCTCTCTGTGATGAGCAGTCATTTTCCTATCCCTTCTGTGGGTTCTCAGCTTACTGCTCATATATTTTTAGAGGTGGTTACTCATCCTGTCATATCCAGGCTTTTTTGCAGATATATTTTCCCCGTTACTTGTCAGACAGCTTCCAGACTGCCTCCTAACTTTGAGGTCCCCAATTTTCCCAGCAAGTTGCTTGCTGGTTTCTTAGGTTTCCCTAGATTTACCATGGTGAACGCGAGGGAGATCTACATTAACTTTTCTCCCCTCCAGTTTCACATGGTTAGACAACACGGCCATTTTCCATGACCAATTCATTAGCTGTACCTCAATCTAAAATGGCAACAAACTGTTGAATTGGAGCCCATCCAAAGAAACCTTCTTGTCTTATCCATAAATGTTCATCCAGGCCTTCACCATCTTCTCCATTCCTTACTCCTCATCTGCTGCCACTCTACTCTCTCTTGACCTCATCTACAATAAAAATGCTAATCATATGATCTCATCTCAGGGTTTTCTCCTTGCTTTAGCAGCAGTGCTCTGTGAGTGAGGCAGGTTTGACATTTGCTTTTAGACTCCCTTCTCAGCCATCCCACATCACTGAAAATCAGTCACACTAGAAAACCATTTTTTCTTACAGAATATTATCATTGAGTAACTATAGATGCTTTCTTTCTGATTAGCACTAATGAATCTAATAGCATGCTTTTATCAGTATTCCTTCACATTATGTAGTTTATTGATGTACTTTGGTGCCTATTTTCTATAATGAAAACTATGAAATTGCATATCTATCATGACTAAGTAGTGATGTAACTCAGAGCCAACTTTAATTGTTGATTCTTCCAGTGAAAAGGTGATCTGAGAGGCTGTAACTGCAAAATGCCATGGAGATGTCTTTTCCTAATAAATAACCCATTTTCCCATAAAGGTGGAAAATTCAAACTGATAAAGGGAAAATAAATTTTCATCCCCCGCGTAATTAGTTTGTGGGATTTGTCACCACAGAAAGTCTTTCAACCCAAGAACATTGCAAGACTGAAGAAAGCTCAGGCATTAAGTGAGTAGTCAGAAGCCCACCATTGCCATAACGATGCCTGAAAAGGTTTTGTGAGTGATATGAAGCTGCATATCTCTTCCAGAGGCCAGCATGAGTCTCTAAGTGGGGCAGGAAAATATACATACACTGAGGGTCTGAGACCATTTCCTAAAGTATCTGGATGCCAATGCTGGATAATAAAAGCCATAAAGCAGCTGACCTGCCACCACCCAGATACTCCCATGTCTGCTGTTTAACTCCAGCCTGGGCAATAGCTTTCTCCAAGGAAAGAGAAGCTCTTCTGTTCATGCTGACATTGCTGCATTTCTCCTGCTTATAATAAAGTAAGTTCCTTTAGTTTCTAATACATTCAAATGAGCTTTTTATAATCCTTATTTATGAGATGAACTCAGCTTGCACTATTAGAATAAATCTAATAAAACAACTGGTACTTTTCAGAAAATGGTGCAGTTTCACCTAAATGCCACGTTTTACACTGCTTTTAAGTACAAGAAAAAAATGAGGTCTTTGTAAAATCTGAGCGTTTTCTGACTGTTTTTCCCCCTCAAAACAGCAGGTTTTGGTGTTGACGAAATTAAGCAGGGAAGAGGGGGTTGAGTGGTGCTGAGTTTTCCCAGCCAAGGAGCAGGGTGGGCTCACGGTACCCACAGTCCCAGCAATGGCGAGATGGGGATTGAGGTGATGGTTTGATGTATGGCCATCTGCTAATCCAAACCCACCCTGGCTATAAGTGCACTTCCCTGACTGGGAAACCAGCTTCTGACCATTTGAGGTGTGGCTCCTCCAGCACATCTGGTTTGTTCATTGGATACACCAGATGTGCCTGTTGTTTCCAGGAGAGAGGGAGGGATGGAGTGCTCCATGCTGTCCTGCATGGGGACAGGTTCTTCATCCTACTTTTCTCTGGACTTTCCCCTGTTCCCTGTATGCCTTCCAGCACCCTGGGGGTCCCCTCTCACCCCACGCAGGGCCAGCTGTGCCACATCTGGCAGGCAGTGTGGCTGTGGCGGAGTAACCCTGACATCTAGTGGCTCCCAGAGCCCAGGTCCTGCTCTGTTCCCTGAGCAGGAGGCATGGGGAATGTCAGCCATCGTCTATGAATAAAGCCAGCGGCCTTTCTACAGGGCAGGAAGAGATTCCAGCATCCAACAGTACTCTGAGGGACACTGCTAATAATGCCGTTGCTAATGAATGAAGGGAACTCCACAGTTAGCAAAGCAGAGAGCTGGGTTGGCTGTGACCTTGAATTCTCCCTGCACATGGCCACTCTCTGCTGGGTGGAAGATGCAGGTGGTTCTCCTTGGCCGATATTCCAGCCTTGCTGCCCTCTCAGGCTGGATCTGCTCCTCCTTCCTGCTACAGCAGTCCCCATGCCAGGGTGGGAGAACTTGGCCAAGGGATGCTGTGCCATGGCTTCCTTGGAAGGAGGACAAAGCGTGGCAGAGCACATTGCATTCAACAAGAACCTGTGCAGGCTGCATGTCTGGAACTGCCCCAGCAACATGATGGGGACATGCAGGAGGGACACCAAGCAGAGGGGAGAGAGGGCTGTCAGTGTGTGTGGCATCCACATGAATGGGGAAGGAGAAAGAAGCAATCTGTGAAGCCAAACGAAGCCCCCAGTTTCCCCTGCCAAGTTGGCTTTCACAGGAGGCTTTCTCCAACAGAGCTCTCTGAACAGAAATACCTGCTGCCTGTCCTCAGCAGGACTGGTGGGGAGGTGCCTACAGGAGGACGTGGGCAGCTTGGTGCTAGCTATCAGGTGGTTCTTCCATATTCACACTGCCCCTGGTATCCCAACTCCTGGTTTTGCTGCCTGCTGGGCTTCCAAAATCACCAAGATTCAGCCCAAGAAGCAGAAAGCAAACGGAGAGTAGCTGTGATTGAGTGGAAGCATTGCCAAGGGTGGTGGGAGCAGTGCTGGAGATGCACCAACCTTCCTCCTTGCATTTGCAGTGAACTTCTGCACCTTGCACATGGAGCACCAGCATGCCTCAGAAGAACAGAACTGACAGGCACAAGGTGGCAGCAGGAATGTCAACACAGGGCTGAAGGCCCTGGTATTTTGCTCCATCCCAACATCCCTTCCTACAGGGCACCCATCCCTACAGCCAGCACAAGCCATCCCCCTTCCCCATGCAGCGGGGATTTTCTGCCCTGATTTTCCGCCGACTTCCAGCCGTGTTTACAGTCACAGGATTTCTTACTTCTCATGAAAGTCACTCCCAGGGTGAAATTTGAGTTTGTAAATTATTAAAATGTTATCAAGAGCATGCAGGCTTGCCCATTTTTTTTTTTCCTGTTGGTGAATAAGCTGATGTATAATTCAATTTTCCCCCTACAGTTTCTTCAGTAATGCTTAAAAATTATACGCACACACACAAACTGTCACACAGATCCAAACCTTATTTCCATTCATTTAGAAGTTTCTCTGGGCCGCAGGCTTTATCTTCCTCTCTTTCTGCACAGTGCTGAGACAACTTAGGGTGTTGCCATTACATGAATAATATATAATAATAATACATTCAGAATTCTTACTTTCTGAACGTATCTTCATAATCTATCTTTTTAAATGCTGGTTTCTGAGAGAGAAAGAGCAAATGTGAACACGCATAGGGGATACAATTATTACTGTTTGTTATTACGTGGGACAGGAACCAACATTGCTATTTCCAGTTTCCTGACAATCTGCCGTACAAAAACCTGCTTATGATTTTGCTGGATTTTAATTCTTCGGGCTGTGGCTCCCTTGGCCGAGCGCCTGGTAGGCTTCAGCTTTCCTTGAAAAGTGAAGTAAGCAAAAAACTTGCTTTCTCCTCATCATATTTAAACAATTTTACAACCTTGAGGAGCTTCCGTGTCCCCAGGGAAAAACCCCGCACAGTCTGGCAGAGCAGCTGAGGTTGAGGGTGGAGTCTTGGAAATTCCCCCCCTGTTAGTCCAAACCATTAACTGCTGAAAATGCCAGCTTACACCCTTCCTGTAGAGATCTGTTTGTGACTGGAAGGTAGATCCTTGGGGATGTGAGGTAACCAGAGAGAAAAGCAATGTAGAACCAGGGAGGAAAGGCAGGAGGGAGAATCTGTGGTGTGCAGGCTGAAAAGGGTCCAGAAGAGCAGATGGCACAAGGTGGGATAAGGGCTGGAATGCCAAACAGCATGGGCTGGGGTGATGAAAGGAAGCTAGGTAACAGTAAAGGAAAACACAACTGATTTCTCCTCCTCCCATAGATGTGATATGCAAGAAGCTCCTCCAAGGGTACCCATCCTACCACCCTACGAAGCTGTCTTTGTACTTAGAATCATAGAGTCATCATTTGAGTTGGGCAGGACCCTTGAAGGCCATCTGGTCCAACTCTCCTGCAATGAACAGAGACACCCACAGCTCCATCAGGTGCTCAGAGCCCTGTCCAGCCTGACCTCGAGTGTGTCCAAAGATAGAGCATCCACCACTAATCTGGACAACCTGTGCCAATGCCTCACCACAGTTATCACGAAAAATTTCTTCCTTATATCCAATCTAACTCTCCTCTCTTTTAATCTGAAACTATTTCCCCTTGTCACATCATAACAGACCCAAAAAAAGAGCCTGTGCATTCTTTCAGCCCCCTTTTGACACTGACAGGCTGCCCTCAAGTCTCCACACAGTCTTATCTTCTGCTGAACAGGCTAAACAGCCCGAGATCTTCAGCCTGACCTCACAGGGAGGCGTTCCATCCCTTGGATCCTTTTTTTGGCCCTCCTCTGGATACACTCCAACAGGTCCATGTGTCTCCCGTATTGAGGACTCCACATCTGGACACAGTGCTCCAGGTGATGGCTGCTGGACACAAGCAAGTGTGGGAGGAGATGATCCCAGTCAGAACTGTCTCCCAGCTCTTCCCATTTCAGGACAGACCACCCAGCGTTCAGCAGCACACACTTGCAAGACTGACACATGTGCAGCATTGCTCCCCCCTGAGCCCAGGCAGCATCCTGGAGGGAAGCTGGAGCATTAGCAGCCACTCTCCTGTTACACATCTGCCAAGGCTGGCGCTTGGGGAACATCAATGACATGCTTATGTGCAAGCGCTACCCAGGAACACGTTTTGTAGTGAAATGTAGCTTGCTAAATGCTCTCATGTGTTCAGCGTGAGGCTCAAAGGCTGCCAGAAAGCTTACCAGAAAACACGGGCTGTCCATGGACACGTGGCAGCATGTGGGAGAAAAGAAAAAAAAATGGGAAAGGTTGATCCACGGCGTTGCAATTAATTTGAAGTCTGCTGTAGGCAGCTAACTGGAGCAAAGAGCACCCACAGGACAGCGGTGAGGAAGAGCTCAGTTCAGTCTGACATCCGCTGTCCCATGGGTAAAATGTTTCTTACAAAAATTGGACTCCGTATCCAGATGAGAATTCATAATCAAAATCGATGAGGAGAGGAAATTGTTGGCTGTCTCCATCAACACCGCCATTAAAGGCAAGGAGTGAAGGATTTGGTTTTGCTCTTTAGAACGGAAACCAATCTAGTGAACTGTGTCTCATGTTGCTAGGATAACGAATAGGCTTTTCATCGCATCTCCCATCATGGTTCTCCCTTTCCGTGTCTTCTTAATGAATCTTTCAGTACATAACAGAGACTGCAAGGAGAGATCACCAGCAGGCTTGGACTTGAAACCTGCATTCCTAAAAATGCATCCTTTTGACCTAAACAGGATTCTCCCCTTTGTAATAGACTGCTCTCCCATCAGGCAGACCTGCAAGAAGAAGGAGACAAATAGCATTAACACAAGATGTTAATTGCCTTCCTGTTTATGGAAGGCAAACTTGGGTGTAGACTCTATCTAAGCATTTAATTACAAGAAGAAATTGTTTTTCACCATTGAAATGAGAAATGTTAAAGCACACAGACATAAAGAAAGTAAATATTTTTGCAACCACATCAAATTTTCTTTGTTTATTTTTTCTTCATTTTTGTTTTTTTCCCCCTCATCCACTCTATTTCTTCGCATTTTGGCAGCTAGGAAAAATAATTCACCGGAACAACACAATGCAGAGAGCCTTCACAAGCACTGAAGTCTCTTAGCCGAGAGAGGAGAATCAGAAGTGATTTGACTGTGAAGGATATCATGAGAAGTAATGGGAATATACCAGCATTTCCTACCAGCAATGGAGAGGCTCAGCTGGGAGATGCTCCTCCCTTAACACAAAGTGAAGACAATATTTTTAACTCACAGCCTGGTAGATGAAGTGGAAATCGAAGTAAAATTCAGCACAGAGCACAGGGGCTGCTGGTGTCCTTTCAGGCGTCAGCACTGAGTAATTTCCATTCATGGTGCAGAGCTCTTACACCGAGGCTTGTCGTCCTCCTTGGCACTCAGAAAAATGCTGATTTATGGCAGTGGACTTGCCTCCAAGTCGTTGTTTACTGTGATATCTGCTTTCCAGATAAATGGATAAATTGGATAAATAGAGGTTGCTCACAACGTGAAGAAAGCCTTGTCAGTAAACATGCATTATTGCCGTGATTAGCTTGAGGAATCATATACATTTTTCATGCTTTTCTAGTTCCACACTTCCTTTAATTCACTCCTAAAAGCCCATCTGTTTAAATGAGCTGGTAATGCCTGCTGATCAATAGTTTGTACTCTGGGCTGCAGGCTTGGGCAGTCCCAGCAAGCAGGAGCTGCCTGTGCCAAAATGCTGCAGAGCTGTGTCTTGACCTACCATCCATCTGGGATAGAGCAAGAAGGATCTTTGGGGTGGGATCTCCAAATCTGAAGCTCTGGAGGCAGCAGGCTGACCTGCCTGGCCCCAGCAGGGTCCCGTAGACACAAGAGGTGATGGCCTTGAGTTGTGCCAGGATGGGATCAGGTTGGATATTAGGAATAATTTCTTCTCAGAAAAAGTGAGGCACTGGCTCAGCTGCACAGGGAGGTGGGGCAGTCACTGTGCCTTGGCCTAAACAAGAAAAGGAAAGTTGGTCTCAACCTGCCAGCAAGGCCAAATTTAATCTAATGTGACTGCATAGCTAACGAGAAGCCTTTTCTTTCTCCATCCCAATTTGGGATTACTAATAATGCGGGTGTTTGCACAGACTTAATTGAATGCCCTTGTCTCCGATGCTCTTTGACAACACATTTTGCCAAAGTTTGTTGAATGAACAGAGCAGCTTTAGAGTCCCAGGCCCAAAATACAAACTTTCCTTGAAATTAGATAGAGCCTGCGCATAATGTTTGCCTCATTTGTTAAAAGCCTGGTTTATTTGCCTACTCAAGCTCATCAGCGTAAATATTTGCCCTCTCTCATCACACTCATTAAATCTTTTGCATTTGAGCTGGGAATGAGAGACGGCAGTTTACCCTCCTGCATCATACCACCGTGGGGTTCATCAGCACAGGAGGAGAATCCCCAGCCCTTGCCTGTGCTATGTTTGCTGAGCTGCTGCACTGCCCTGCACACTGGTGTCTCAAGTGACCCCATTTCTTTGTTTATCCCATCGATTTGGTGTTTGGTGACAAATTCTCAGTTCTCCATAGCAATGCTGCTCAGACATGGGCTCAGCACAAGTTCCTTGGCTTCCCAACCACACTGCAGACACAGGGGCTCTTGAAGGCGCTCCCTAAGAAGAGAGCATGCCATGAAAGGAGCAGCGTAAAAAACAAAAATGCCTGAAGCCATTTCCCTTCTTCCTTTCTCTGCTCTTATGTACAGCGAGCTAGGAGGAAGCCCACATACCACCCACAGGCAGAGCACTGCAAACACAGTTCAGGACGACATAAAGCATCAGCACTTCACCAGCTTGCTTGCACTCTACATCTCAGCTACATTTCATCATTCTTGTTGAAGGAAAGGAGATGGAGAATGAGACAGCCTTCGATTGCAATAATTTATGCTTTTCCAGCCCTGAAAAGCTCAAAGCCCACAGCCTCCTTTCCAATGCCAAGAGCCATCAACCATATGCAGAAGCCACAGCTCTCAGACGAGCACAGGGAGCACCAAGGGCAGAGCCCCAGCATGCAGCAAGTGGGGATGCATCCCCGTGCAGCCCAGCTCACTCCTTGCACAATGCCATCAAAACCCAAAGTTCCTGCCCCAAGCAGCATCGGGTTTATTCTCACACCCAAAGGTAGCAAGTGCAAATTTCCCCTCCTAACTAACACATTTAGAACACAATGAGAAGTGCTCTGTAGCAGGGCATTCCCAAAAAATAGCATTTTTTTTTCTTTTTCTTTTTAAAGGAACCTGTTGCACTTTAAAGGGGAGCAAACCCATGTTGCCCTGTGAAGATGTAAGGGAATGCAGGATATTGTGCATAGCCTGGTACCTCCAAGCCGTTTGAACCTCTCATCCAGATAAGCTCAATTAAGCAAAAACTCACCAAAAAAACCACCAGTTCTCACTCAAGCTCTGAAACTTTGTTGGAGAATATATTAGAGGGATTTCCCCCCTTCCCGCTCAAACTAGAAACACAGATTCCTTCCTTTGATGTAAGGTTTCTCTAAGAATAATTTACGATGCAAGAAGTTTTACTCAGAATATACTTTGAAGCCAAGCAGCTTCATTTTTTTTTTTTCCTAAAATTCAGCAAAAACAAAACCCTGTAACTAGCTGTAGCGTTCACGTATCCCCTATAAAGTTTTCAGAGCAGAATCATTTGCTCCCTTTACAGCTTTCTTCTCAGGCCTGTCTGTAAAACCCTTTTCCAAAGGAAATGGCTGCACAGCAGCCCCCAGCTGTTGGTGGGTGCCCCATCCCCATGGGAACAGCCCCTGCAGCATTTCTGACACGCAGAGGGACGCCTCCCCTGTCCCCACCAGCACTAAGCAGCTCCTCCATCAGTACACTGATCGTATCACGTTTGCTGTTCAGCTTGCCCTGCAGCCTTCCCAGCCTCACAACACCAGTGTCCCCATCCAACACCCACATCCTCACTCCAGGACAGGGTTAGGACACCTCAGCGGAGGGCTGCAGGTTGGATCTACATAGGCCTGCTGTCCCCCTTCCCCTTTTCTCTCTCACTTTCAACACCCTCATCATTAAATCCTCATAAGTCCCATCCCCACCTGCTCCTAGCCCTGCTCACATCTCCCAGAACTGCCCCCCTCTCTTACAGCAGCTTTTCCCAATTAGCTGCAGCTGGGGAGCCAATGAGCCTTATATTATCCTTGAGTTCCAGCTCCTTCTTTGTAGGCTTCTTCTGCCTCCTTGTTCAGAGGTTGCCCTTAAGGCAATACCTCAGGGTTATGGGTTGCCAGATCTACTTCTGGTTATGAAAGCAGGTAGTGCTCAGACCTTTCTTGCATGTGTATCAGCTGTAGATCTATGGATGGAGCTTTCCAGGTGTGCTTTGGCCATGCCCAGGCATCACCTTGATCCTTCTCTTTTACAGTAACTGATTCAGCAGTAAAACCACACTCTTGTCACACCTACTGCTAAAACAACTCTGCGGAGACTCTTCGGAGACAGCATCTTCCATGAAGGCTGTGTCCAATCCAATGCAATATCCTCCATTCGCCAGAGGTGTTTCACTGCTGGCCAATGTAACAAGTATTACCATTACTCTTCTCCTTGGTTGGTGGTCGACTGGATGCCCACCATGTCCTGAGTTTGGAGGTTGCTGCTGGCTCCAGCCAGGTTTTTCTGCTGATTTTGGGCCCCTTGTATAGCAAGAGGTTAAAACTGAGGTCTGCCTCGTGCAGTAGGGGCAGCTGGGGGATGTGTGCTGTGCTGAATGAAGATGAGCTCAGTCTGCACAGCATTGCTGAGTAACAACTGACAGCCTCAAGTGAGCTTCACCCTTTGATTATGCTCAAAATCAGAGTGAAAACTCTTCAAGATAATCTCTCTACACAAGTCCCGCTCTCCTGCTCCCCAGGGATGGGAGGAAAGGGGAGAAGAAATCAGTGAAGAGGTTCTCCAAATGTGCAGGATGGGTTTGTGAGGGCAGCCTTGGGAGCTCAGTGTCACCATGGATGGCCTCCTGGAGCTGCCGTGCCCGAGGGGATGACCAGATGCCATCCCATCCTGCCCATGGTGGTGATGGATGTGGGAGCTCTGGGGCAACATCTGGGCTCACATTGCTCTGAGAAGGCACTGCCTGGATATTCCTATCCCTTTTTGATGCTTTTCCATTGTTTTTCATGGGTTTAATCTGCTCCTCCCCCTTTGGAGGCTGTCTCCAGTGCATGTTGCCCACACTGACCTCTGCTCCCATGGGTTGCCATACAATGCCCTCCTGCTTGCCCTCAGACAGCCCACCTTAGCCCAAGCCTTTCTCACCTCCCTGGGGAGAAAAGCTTCAAGTGACCGTTTGGGGATTGCATCTGAAACAACAAAAACTCGTTGTTATGCAGGAGTGCCACAAGTGCTTCTAGAATTAGCAGCTCCTCCAGGTTGCCCTGTTCATTTTGAAATGTGCCACTTCAAATCCCTTCAAGGGCTTGATTTGGGAAGTAAATGGGATTCAGAGCAGGTGAAACATTAAGTAATTACAAATTATTGGAACACTTCATGTTATGAAAGCCCTTCAAATAATTTTAAATTACTTTGTACTAATTGTGATCAGTGCTCCATTCATTTCCAAAGTCCTTCAAACGACAAGTCGTGGTATATTTTGGGAGCTGGAACCCAGTCCTTGGTTTTAAAAAAATATGATATATTTTTGGGATAATGTACTTCTGAAGAAGATCTAAAAAATGTACTTACCCGTTGCATTTCACAGGTACTTCTGTACTGCCTGGAGCAAGATATGAAAACCAAGTCAAGGCTGAGGCACACGGAGGTAATTCCCCAGTCACAGAGCTTGGGAATAATTCAAAAAACGAACGGCAGGGTTAGAGGGAAAAAGTTTGAAACCAAGGGGAGATGTTTTCAAACAAAAACAGGGGAGATTTAGATTGGATATAAAGAAGTTTTTGACAACAAAGGTGGTGAGGCACTGGCACAGGTCACCCAAAGAAGTGGTTGATGCCCCATCCCTGGGACATTCAAATTCAGGCCTGGGGGGCTCTGAACACCTGATGGAGCTGTAGGTGTCCATGCTCATTGAGGAGCTGTTGGACTTGATGATGTTTAAAGATATCTTGCAACTCAAATGACTCTGGATTCTATGATAAGACCCGATGACCACGATCTTTGAGATCCCTTCCAACCCAAGCCATTCTATGATTCCACAACCTGGCAAACACAGAAGCACAAGACAGGAAAGTGGGAGAGCTCAGGGTTACACTGCCCAGGCACCCTTCCTCCAAGCTAGCCAGGGAAACCTTCTTATCCTGAACCAGCACAAGGAGAAAGGTGCAGATTCACTTTCCATTCTGTCCTGCCTCTGGAAGCCGCTCTGGGCTCCCCATGCACCTCAGGAAATGGGACTTATGGGGAGACACACATTCCTAAGCCCCTGTTATTGTCCCTAAAGGGGCAGCAGTGATGTGGTCCACGTGTTGTAGGTCTGATGGTCAGAAAGCACAACAAAACACTCTGTGCCATTAAAGAGAGCACATTGATCTTAACCTGAAAATCCTGAGGAAAATCATGTAGATTCTCATAGAGTTTTGTTTCGTTTTGTTTTTAAGAATGGCAGCAGAAAGAAAGCTTAGAAAATCCAGAAAAAAAGGTGTGACTCAGGCAATAGTATTTTCACCTCTCAGCATTTATCCACTTTCATCTGGTGCAGCAACAAATGCCTTACTCACCTCCTGCCAATCCAGCAGAGCCTTTGCTGGAGCAAGAAAGCATCTCTTTGTATCCATGGGAAGTGCTGTGGGAATGGGGGTGAGCTGAGTGCCCTGGAAGGGAGAGCAATGTTGGTTCCTTATTCAGGTGAGATCTTCACCTGGGAGTGTTATGTCTGGAGCAGGATGATGCCAGGCCAGATGTGGTGACACGGGGAGAAGCGGGGTGGGAGAACACACATCACTGCACCGAACCAAATGGGGAGAAAGAGAGAGATAAACAAGGAAGAAACAAAGAAACAGCGAGAGAAGGAGTGGAACCAAAATGCAATAGCAGTGTTTCAGAGAGGAGCAGATGGATGGGCAGGGAGTGACTCTAACAGCCGCCTTCCCATATAGCAACACGCACTCCTCCCTGTTAACATCATTTGCAGCCCTGCTGTTAGTCAAAGAGAACAAACTTCATTTTTACTCTCACCTCAGTGCCTGCAGCAGGAAAGCTGTTGCACGGAGTGTTAGGCAGGTCGGTTCCCCAGCCCCATGGCTGGATCTTGCAGCAGTGGCTGGAACCTCTCCCCTCCTCCTGCAGCTTCCAATAGATGGCAGGAGTTCAGTTATCTCAGAGACATCATCTGCACCCTCAGAATTCACCTATTGAAGTAGGTCACAGCACAGAGGGCAAGAAGAGAGCTCACCAACAGAAAACAGGCTGGAATTGGGGAGAAAAAGAGCCCAGCATCAGAAAGCGGTCTAATTTACTAATTACAATAACAATAAAACGTGGTCATTAAGAAAGCAATTAAAGCAGCAAACGAACAACTGCTCCGACTGCCATTGGTAACAGCGTTTACAAGGCCCGAGCTCTCGAAAGCCGTGAAAACGAATAGCTCAGGATGTCATAAATTTTATACTGCTCCCACAGCAAACCTGCACACAGCATACCAGAAAATGTATATTTCATTACCACTCAGCGGCCTCGGCTCCCGTGCAGACTACAGGCATTCTTTTCTGTGTAATTTTATAATGCGCACACAACTCAAAACCTCTTTGTAAAAGGAACATAAAAATGATGCATGTGCATATTAAGGACTCGTATTTATCAGTCTCAAATGTAAGTTCACGTACATGCTTAATGCTACCATAAATCAACAGCTCTCTCCATTAAACCCTATATGCAACCTTGTTATCGAGAACAGCTATTTATGAACACTACAGCAAGTAATCCAGCCATCATTCGAAAAAATATTTGCTTAAAATATCTCCTCTCTGAATGAATTACTCGAAGGATACATCAGGAAAGGCGAATGAAAACAAAACCCACCAATTAGAAATGTGCTGGGACTTGAGACGGCGCTGGGAGCAGGCAGCATCGATTTCACGTGTGGTAAATCAGCACCGTGCTCTTCCAGTGGATGCTGGGCTCTTTGAAGATGTTCCATGTAGTCTGGGCAAAAAAAAAAAAAAAAAAATAAAGCACTTTGTTCAAAGTAGTGTTGATGATAAGATTGGGGTCCTAACTAGAATAAGAAACACCTTTGCTTCTCTTGGATTTGATGCTTCTTCTTTCTTTTAAGGTGTGGAAAAGCGTGATCTGTTCCTTCTTCATGGGGTGAAGAAGGAACACTGGGCCCATCTCCTGCCCCAACATGGGCTGAAGAGGCTCTGGCCATGATGACAAGCAGAACCACATCTTCTTTCCATCCCTGCCCCAGTTCCAAATCAGGGCTCAGCTCTGGGGGCTGTGCCAAGGGAAGAACATCTGCCCACCGCCCCATCCCCTTGCTGATATTCTGTGACTATGTGGCTCCTGGCTCATTAGCACTGAAATGTCTTTGCACGGAGTTCACTCGCAATTTAGGCTCCAACTAGCTTCCTATTTAGACCCTGCAATGCTACAAATTTATGCCCAGCTGAAACCTGTTACAATGCTGCTGCACAGACATGCAATTTCATAGAGAGATAAGATATAGATCTGCTGTACTCTGGTGATTCTCTTTCAGAAGTGTGCCTTGTCAGGTCATAATTTGATATTCTTTTACCATTTCTATTAGGAGGGGAACAGCCCTTTAATTTAAAAAAATAAAAAATAAAAAAAAATCACATTTTCACCCTTTTGTTCAGTAATGACACAAATAGTAAAATGTTCAGATTACATTGGAGAATGGAGAAGCCCCATGGAGAAAAGACACTGACAAAAGCTTCATTTTCAGGTAAAATTGCATGAGGCTTGGGGCATCGCATACTTAGCAATGTTTTTTTCCCCAGCCTTTCATCCCCATGCATCCCTTTGAATGTTAATAGATTTTACACGGGGATGTTTAAAAGGACTGCAGAGAAATGGGGTTTTATCCACTTCCAGAAATCTCAAAGCAATTTACAACTGTGAATAATATACAAGTAGTTTGGCGAGAGCAGGGGCCAGCAACTCGAATGCTGACTCCGGCTGCAGTTTGCATCCTGCTATAAAATCGCTTTTAATCAGGATGCTTTCAGTAATACATATAATATAGATGTTTTATTTTCCTAAAGCCACTTGATGATTTTTATTCCTGCTTCAATAATCATCAGGGGAAAAGGGAAGAGGATGTTCCAGGAGATGATGTCCTCCCCAGGACTATGCAGGAAGATGGCACAGGCTGGAATTTAAGCAGTCCTGGCCACGTGTTGTGTATCAGCACGCTATGATCCCTTCCAAGTCAGAAATGGACTGTGCAGAAGGGGATGGGGCTCTTCATTGGAGTCAAGGGAAAACCGTGTGCTTGTTGTAAGGCTGGGAGCCACAGAGTGCTCCCCATGTGGAATGCCAATGGTTGGAAAGAATGATCTTGAAGGTCTTTTCCAACCTCAGTACTCTATCATTCTACGAACCCTGGGAACAAAGACAATGCTGGGTTGCAGAGGGGATAGTGAGAAAGATGGACATATACCCTGTGAAACCCAAACCCATTGGGCACGGCCTGGGGGCTGCTTGCCTCGCAGCAGCAAAATTCCTCATGTTGGGTCATTTATGCCTTGCCATGAAGAAAATTACCAGATTTCACTTCCCAGCTACATCTTTTCCAAGTGCTTTCCGCATCCCAGGATATCCAGGGGAACACCAAGCAGAGCAGTACGCTCCTGCTCACAGGGGCAAAGCAGGGAGAGCTCCATGACCCCTTCCCATGGCCATTGCATAGGTTTGGGTTCCGAGTGCAGCAATTCTGACTCACCCAGAGACATTTAGCTCCTTTGTCAGACTCCTGGTCAGGATCACCCCAGCCCTGAGCCCACTCCAGCACAAGATCTGGCTCTTACTAGGCATTCTGTGACCACGGAGCTGTTGACATACCCATAGAGATGCATCTACCCGCTGTGCTTGGACCCACAGTGCCACACTCAGCCTCCTCTCCTCCACCTACAGCTCCTGATTTAAACCTTATCAATGCTGCTAAACTTCCTAATGTATATCAATTGGGTAAAGTTCACAAACAAAGCAGGGATCGATTGGTGGAATAATAAAGTATTGATCACGTTGAGGCGAACCGATGAACCTTCAAATCAATGATGAACACAGATCACATTCCCGGAGCACTTTCAGTTACTGCTAACTCAGTGGCATGCACCCTGGGTGTCAGGTTGGGAAGGAGAACCGTTTCATTGCTCCATCCTTTGCAAAATGCTGCAGCAGATTCTGCTTCAGGAGTGTTTTCCTGAGGACCAAGCTCTCTCCATTTGTCATCACTTTTTTAGCCCATATCTAGCTGGATTTTCTCTCTTAAATGTCAACAGAGAGACAAGCTTTGTTGCAAATGCCTGCACTGTGTGTGAGTATTTGCCTACCTCTGCCAGGAGTTTCTCTGCCAATGCACTTGGGGCTGCATATATGGTTTCCTTATGGGATTCCCCAAAGGTTTTGCCACCACAACCTACAGACTCGGTCTTTCAAAGCCAAGTTCCCTGCTTGCAGCTGAAATTTTGCTTCTGGGCCCCCAAAAGAAGCACCAGCATCAGCGCTGCTTTTGATTGCTCCGTATTGATTGCACCAGTATTAAAAGGCACAAGGACAACTGTGTGTCTGCTGGGTTCAGACATCCAGAAGAAGGGAAGGAGAAGATATCTGACCACGATGCTCTGTAAATGGGGCTCCTGGGCTTTGGCTGAGCTCTTTTGCTCTCGCTGTGCCCCAGCAGCACCGGGGCTGTGGATGCACAGAACTGCTTGCAAATACCTGAAATTGCACAGATTTCCACCACCAACAGCTCAATCTGGGGATTTTACGCCTCATGCTCCCTGTGCATTCTGACACACTGGTATACAGACATTGGGGGGCAGGCTGACCCCAGCTGACATCTCACCCCCCACATTCCAGCTCCCTCCATGTTTCTCTCTGCCCTCTGGTTCTCTACGAAAATTGTGAGCAATTTTGTTTTCAAACCTCAGAGAAGAAAGCTGCCCCCCACCTGGTCCAGACAGGGCTGCAATATCAAATTGTTCTTTTCAGAAGAGCATTTACTGTTTCCAAAGGTTTAAGAGAGCAGGAGGTAGCTCATTCTGTTATTCACTTGGATTCGGAGCTGTTAGACACAGATCTTAATGGATAGTATTGATTGAAAGAAACAAAGCAGCAGTTTTCTTTCTTTCTATCAAGGGATTTCTAGGCTAAGATGAGGAGAGTTTGCTGGCTTACACTCGTAACAACAAAATAGCATATTACAGGATCCCCAGCAGTCTCTAAGGATAGCACAGTGGCGAGAGAAAGAAATGTGCAAGGTGTTAATGGGATAACAAATTAATAGAGAATAGGATTAGTGAGGGACACAGGTTGCTACCAGGGCTCCCGAGGTCTCTGGTGTGAGATTTAATCTGTTTCTGGCACATTGTCCTCATTGACGGATGGGCACAATGGGAGCCCACCTGGCTCCTGGTGCCATTGGGATCCCCAGTGGCAGCTGGGACACCAAGTCATTGTGAGCAGCCAAAATACAATTTTAGGGGGAAATCAGCATCTGCATTACCTGGAAAGCCGGTGCAATTCTCTTCTGTAGCATCTGAGAACTGTGATGAAGCATCAGGCTTGGAAACGGTTTTAAAATCATTACCCGACTCCGTCGTCGTGTGCAATTTTCCCATCCATCTGCCAGTCATTTTGTAAGGTCAAGAGCAAGGACATGCAAGCCTAGGGACCTGAAGCTCAGTGCTGCATCCAGTCCTGCCCTGCTGTTCCCATAGGCAGATGGCCCTGATTGCCTGGGCTTCCTGCGAGGAGCATCCCCACCAGGACCATTGTCCTGGCACAGCCACCCCATCTTCTATCTTGGCTGTCATCACCACCTTCCTCAGCAAAAGGCTTTGAGTCCCTCCTGCAGGGGTCTGCATGCTCATCTGTAAGAAGAGTGATGGGTGACAGGATGGGACCTTCCATTGCCTGTAAGAATGGCACATATTTCCACAGGCCATGAAAGTTGCCCAAGCTTTAGTGGGCTAACTGCTCCCCAGCCCCCTTTGGCAGCGAGGCTCGGTTGTAAAGTTGTGCTGTGCAATACTTCATCCCATGCTGCAGCACCTCCTTGACAATATTCTGTCTGTACCTGACTTTGATGAGTCACTTATTACCTCTGTTTTGTTTTGTTTTTATTTAAGGGCCCCCTGTCTTTCCTAGATCATGTTAACAAGACAGCTATAGAGAAGGGTGGCCCTGGGGGTCTTCATTAGTTCCTCCTAGATTTATGTTCCCTTCCAGCTTAATACAGTCTTTTGGGCACGGTTGCTCAATGATGGGGTCACAGTTAGTTTCCAAGGGTCAAGGCTTTGATCTTCTTATTTATAGCTGGACGTCACGGGAGTTATAAAACTGTGTTTAGTCATAGCAAGGCCCTCATATGGAAAATGTTGGCAACTGGAGAGATGTTTGCACAGCCACGTTCAGGATCTATGCAGTACTTCAGGAATAACAAGTGCTGTAGGGTGGAGCTCCAAAGGCTTGCCCTACAGAAGAACATGCAGAAGCTGGCCAGACTGCTCAAGACTGTGGGATCAGCGCATTCATGCAAGTGGAAGGAGAGAAACCCTACTCCCATGCGTCTGTGGGCATTAAGAACCCACAAGAGCACACTCCCCACAGCCTAGTGCAGATTTTCAAGAGTAGAAAGACCTGAACACAGCCTCCCCCCCAGCTGACCTGCACTGTAAAGCACTGGGCTGCAGAGCACGCTGCAAAGATAACTTCCATTCTCTTTTCACTGCTTTATTTCCCAGTATAGGAAGTTTAGCACTGCTCATTTCATTCCTATTTTCAAACCCAGCTGAAAGAATGCTCTCCCTGAGCCAATCTCTGCAGGGCATCTTCAGCACCATCCTTTCTTTCAGATGCTCTCACTGCTGCTCTCAGTTAGCAATGGCAATGCTACCACCTTCAGGATCCCTCTGCACCTTTTCTCTCCCTGATGGGAGAGAAAAGCTCACACA